AAAGTGATTTTGAAGTTTGACTAAGGAAAGGATAAAGAAAAGGACATTCTAGTCAAGGAAAATGCATAGTTAGACATCTGAGGATTGATTGGATGATCTTATTTACCTACATCAGAAACCTAGAATCATCTTTGGCTTTCCAGGTTTCTGTATCTCTCTTCTGGTCACCCGCACCGCACATCTAACTGATCAATAGCCCTACTCAGTCCCTTTCTTGTCATCTTAGTTTTTTAGTTGTAAGAGAGAAGACTTTAAGACTTCAATCTAAGATACCCTGTTGAGTTATTACTTCGTGAACAAAACACAAGAAACAAAAATCAATGCCATAAAACAAATTTATTTAGTACCATTACAGGAAAACCTACAGATGAACCTTAGCTAGAGAAGCAGTAGTATTTATAGCATTCTCAAATTCCACTCTGTCCCTATTACATCCACCTTCACCCAGGCCTTCCCATTTCTCATCTGCATGATGACAGTAACTTCTGAACTCATCTCTTTTTTTTTAAGTGTCATCATTCTCAAATTCATATTCCACTGCTCCCTAGAGAGAGCTGTTAAAATATTAAGTTGACCACTGATAGCACCTGGTCAAATCCTTGAATGCTTCTTTGCCCCCACCAAGATTGAGCTCTGAACCCTCTGCTGGTGGTCAGTTCTGTGTCCAACGAATTTCCTGGGCCATTCTTTTTCTTTTAAATGTTTTTCTTTTATTGTGATTTTAACAAACATTTGCAGAAAACTTGGATTTTTCTTTCATTCATTGTTGCACATTTTATGCCCTACTTCCCAGTTCATTTAAAAAAAAACAAAACACATAACACAACCCCTAAGCCATTCATTTTTGCATCATTTCCTCTTCCCCAAACTCCCATCCCTTTCCCAGTCCACTTTGCAATGACCCTTTTATTCTGGATTGTTCATATTACTAATGCCTAATTATATATTTCTTTAAAACAGTTCTTCCCTTCGTCTGTTCCAATTCATTATTTATCCCCTTTTTCCTTAGTTTCCTTCTAACCTCTTTGTCAGTCCTTTTTTATAACAACGGTACTATACAGTATTTGTCCTTTTGTGACTGAAATATTTGACTCAGCATAATCTCCTCCAGAGTCATCCATGTTGTGTAATATTTTATGAGTTCCTTGTTTTTTTTCAGTGTTGCATAGTATTCCATTGTGTGAATATATACCATCGTTTCTCTATCCATTCATTTGTTGATGGGCATCCTGTGCCATTCTTAACTTGAGTTCTGTGTGTCAGAATTGCTTATTTCATACTCTCGTCCCCCAGCAGACCATGCTGCTGTATATACTTCCTTGTCTTTGCTCATGATGTGCTTTCTGCTGGAATGCTTTTACCCTTTCTCCCTTCTCTATCTGTAGAATACCTACTTACATCTCAAAACTCAACTTGAGCTTAGATCTCGGGATAGAGATTCATGTATCCCTTCTCTGGCTATTACAGGGCTTTATCTTCACCATTTTGTAACTGAAAAGGTCTAGGCATATTTTTTTGTCTTCCCATAGACTATTTTCTTCAAAGGCAAGAACCATGCCTTGTTGATAGTTGAATTTCTATTGTTTGTCTCAGTGTCTAAAAACTTGTGGCAAATCTTTGAATAAAATGAGCTGAGTATGAACCTAAGAGGAGCAAATAGCAGAGACTGAGCAGGAGATCTTGGATTCGTAAGCATTAGAACTAAGCAATGAAACTTACCATCTAAAAACTGGAAAAAGTTAACTACTGAAGTGTGAGATATAATCTGAATCAGCATCTTCCCATATTGGATCATTCAAATAGACTTTGTGACTAAAAAGGCATGAGTATCCTGGGTAGAATCTCCTACTAGGTTACCTCCTGCTTCTTTCTCCTGGGGGCTTACCTTTAGAATCTCTTTCCTAGATGTCAGGATTGGGTTATTTTGGGTGGCTTGTTTGGGTTTTGTTTTGTTGTTTGTTTTTGTTTTTTACATGAAAACATAAATTGGGAGGATTCTTACAAATGGATGACATCCTCACAGTTAATTTCATCTCTTCATTCTTAGAAAATTCTCATAAATAAAAGCCCCCCGTCTTACATCACCCAGCCCGAAGACCCAGATACTGTCTTGCTTTTAGACAATGCCACCTTGACATGGGAGCAAGAGAGCAACAGGACAAGTGATCCAGAGAAAGTACAGAACAAGAAGACCCGTGCTCTTAAGAGGCATGTGCCACGTGAGACAAGTTCACCAGTCCATGGAGTGACAGGTCTGGAAGAGCAAAGTGACAGCCACAAATGGGTTCTGCACAAGATAAGCTTTGCAGTGAGAAAGGTGGGTGTGGATTCTGAAAATGGGGCTCTCCCTTTTCTCCTCATCTTTTTTTTTATTATTATTACTTGATTTTAATGAAAGTTTGCAGAGACTTTGGATTTCCATTCATTCATTGTTGCACTTTTCTCCCTGCCCACCTCTCCCTTCCCAATTAGTTTTTCTCTTTGACAAGTAAAAGAAAAAATTCTTTTCATTGTTATTCAAACCCTCCCCCAAAGTCTACTCCACTATGCAGCCTTCATTCTGGACTCCTGTCACAACAATAATATCTAATCATATATCCCTTTTAAACAGTTCTCTCCCTCATCTCTTTCATCTTATATAGGTATTGTCTTGATATAATTGACTTTGAGTTATATATGGTTCTGGGCTCACTGTGTCTGACATACCAGACCCTATTGCCATAGTCACTGTGTCAATCCATCTCATTCAGGGCCTTCCTCTCCTACTGATCCCTCCTGGCAACATGCCCAAAGTATATGAGACAGAGCTTCATAATCCTTGCCTCCATGAAATAAACTGGTTTCTGTTTATTCTCTTGGCAGTCCATGGTATGTTCAATACTCTTCTCCAGCACCACAACTCAAAGGCATTTCTGCTTCTCCTGTCATCCTTATCATTGTCTAGCTCTCAGGTGCAGAGCAAACAATGGAGAAGACCATGGTCTGAGGCACACGCACCTTAGTCTCTAGACTGACATCATTGCTCTTTAGGACTCTGGAGAGGCTCTTGACAGCAGATTTTCCCAATGCAACTTGTCTTTTGTGTCACTAACTGATCGTGATAAGAATCCCGATTTTGGAACCAACCAAGATGAAATTGTTAGCAACTTTGATCTTTTTTCTATCATGAGGCTGCCTACTGGCCTGGTGGTGATGATTTTTGTTTTCTTGATGTTGAGATGCAATTCACATTGAAGGCTGCAGTCCTTGACCTTTTCCAGTAAAGGTGTAAAGTCTTCCTCAGTGTTGGTGAGGAGGATTAATAATCTGGATTTCTGTAATTTCTTATTACATGTTGTTTTTGTTGTGTACTGTTGAGTTGGAAATGACCCATAGCTGACCCTCTGGTGTGTTAGGCAGTTACTCACTTGGGAGGAGATTGCCCATCTTTCTCCCATGGAACAGCTGGTGGATTTGAACCACATGCTTTGGGGATTGCAGGACAGTTTCTTACCACTAGGTTACCAGAGCTTCACTCCAAAGACTGATGCCTCCTTGCAACATGTCCAAAGAATGTCACATGGAGTTTCAGAATCCTTGCCTCCAAGGAGCAGCCTGGTTTAACCTTCTCTACGACAAAACCTGTTAATTTTCTTAGCAGTCCATGCCATGGTATATTCAATTCATTTCTCCAGATCCATAGCTCAAAAGCATCAATTCTCCTTCTATCCTCCCTGGTCATTGTCCAGCTCTCTGATGCATAGCAAGTGATTGCAAAGACTGTATCAGGGACACCTTAGTCTCCAGAGTGAAACCATTGCTCTTCAGAACTTTGGAGAGGTCTCTACCAGCAGACTTTCCCATCACAATATGTCTTTTAATTTCCTGGTTGCTGGTGCCAAGAGTGTTGACTGTGGAGCCAAGCAAACTAAAGCTGTTAACAATCTCTTCACCAGCCATCCTGATGCTGCCAATTGGCCCAGTGGTGAGAATCTTTGTTTTCTTGATATTGAGCCTCGCTCCATATTGTACATTGCAGTCCTTGACCTTCTTCAGCAAGTGATTCAGGTCCTCCTCAGTTTCAGCAAGCAGGGTTATGCCATCTGCATAACACAGATGGTTGATAAATCTTCCTCCAATCCTGATGCCACACTTCCCATACAGCCCAGCCTCCCAGATAATCAATCTGTTGTGCATAGGTTGAAAACATATGAAAATAGGACACATCCATGGCATACACCCTTCCCAATTTTGAACCATGCAGTGTTTCCTTGCTCTGTTCTGATGACTGCCTCCTGGTCTAAGTATAGGTTTCACGTTATCATCGTCAAGTGTTCTGGGATTCCCATTCTTTTCAGAGTCAGCCACAGTTTTTTGTGATCCATATAGTCAAATGCCTTTGCATAATCAAGGAAACACAGATAGACATTACTCTGGTACTCTCTGCTTTCAGCCAAGATCCATCTAACATTAGCTACAATATCCCTAATACCATGACCCCTTCTAAACCCAGCCTGCATTTCTGGCAGTACAGCCTAGAAAACCCTTGTGGGACAGTTCTACTCTGTCATAAAGGGTCATTACGATCAGAATTGATGATGGACAGTATATATAATACACACAGTAATGACAACTAATGGTTAGGAATGAATACTGAACATCATTTTTAGGTGCTTGTTGGCCATTTGACATTTTGCTTTGCTAAAATTGCTGTTTGAGAGTCCCCTGCTTATTTCTTTATTAGCTTATTTTTGTTTTGGTAAGTGATGAGTTTTACACACCCATGAACACACCCACAAACACACACACGTTGTATGTATAATATTAGACCATATTAGATGGTTCCTGAAACTTTCTCCTCGACTCTAGGTTGTCATCTCCCTTTGCTGCTTTTCTAAGGTTTTCAATGACTAGATTTTCATACAGAGGTCACCAGGTCTTTCTTCGAAGGCGCCTCTGTGTGGGCTCAAACCTCCAACCTTTTACTGAGCAGTCAAGTACATGAACCGTGTCTGGGATGAAGGGGCTCCATGATAAATAAGAATTGTTTTTGTTTGGTGCTGTGAAGTCAGTTCTGACACGTAGCCACTCTATGTACAACAGAATAAAACCACTGCCTTTGCTGTACTATTCTCAGAGTTGTTGCTGTGGATAAACACACTGTAGCATGATGGCCTTTGCTCATAATAGGTTCAAAGTATGTGAGCCAAAATCTTGTCATATTTACCCCCGAGGAACAATCTGGCTTTATTTCAAGATAGATTTCTTAGTCCTTCTGGCAGTCCAGAGTGTATTCTGTATTCTTTGCTAACAAATTCAAATGCCTCAGTTCTCCTTGGGTCCTTCTTATCTACTGCCCAGCTTTTCCATGCTTATACAGCAACTGAAAATGCCATGACTTGGGTCAGGTGCTCCTTAGTCCTTGAAGTAACATTAACTATTTATCAGGTATATAATTAATACAGTTTCCCACCTCAACCACTCTGAGGTAAGTACTAAAAGTAGGCTGTTGTTGAGTGCCATTGAGTCGCTTTATTATTGACAAAACCTTTGGACTGGGATTTGTGGAGGTCGTTAGACAAAGCTAAGTACTTAGGAATTAGAGCTAGCAAGTGGCAGAGGAGAGCCTTGTGTCCACCATCGCTGGCTTCAGCGCCTATGCTCATAACCACTGTTCAATACCTCTCTTGTTAAAACCGAAGTGGTTTTAGTAACAAGCAACCCAGTAGGGAAGCGAGCCAGGGTCTGTCAGCTTTTCTTATCCTTCAGGATTGGTGGGCGTCTTTAAACAAAGCCATACACTTAAGAAATGCACTACCTTTTCCCCCACGTGATTGTCTTGCACCAAGAGCTCAGGCAGCGGCACTCCCAGGGTGGCTGTGTTGGTTTTCTTACAGAGGGCTCAGTGTTAATCCTGTGCCTAGTATTTTAATCTACTATCTTGTTGACTTGCCCTTTCCCCATGTGAGCACTGCCACGAGTGGAGTTCTTCTTTATATGTGATGTTAAGCTCAATAGGCAGTGGGAGAGGTGGTTAACGAGGCTATCTGCCATGCAGTCACTGGGAATGAGCCTCTGTCTGCTGAGGGCTGTTGTTCTCAGTTCTCAGTTCAGTTTAGCTCAGTGCAACCCTCCTTTGCTGTCTCCTCACTCTCCCTTGTGGATATGAGGGGCAATGCTGTAATTAATATCTCCAACCCTGCCTTCAGAGTTGCTTCAGAGAGGCCACCTGAACTGCTCTCATGCTTTCAAGAAGCTGCCTTGTTTTTTTGGCTTCCAATTGTTTTATTCCTACTACATTTTTCACTAAGATACTAACTCTTGATAGTGACATCAGCATTTGTTATGTATGTTGAAGACAGGAGGATTAATGCAATGTCACATGAGTTAGCAGCGTGTTTATGGAGACTGGTGGACCTGCATTCCACTCCCACAGAACTAGCTATGTGACCTTGGATAATGTTACCCAGCTCTGTGGAGCCCTGGCTTCTATAACCACTTCAGGGATATGCTAATTATAGGACCCACTTTACAATGTGTTGGGAGAACTAATGATGATAACATAAACATGCTTTGCTGATGCTGATGTTAGAGCTGTTCTTGTTGACCTTTTCATTCAACAAGTATGCCCAGCTTCAGCGCTGCCCTTTAGTGTTATAAATTTGTGCCCCAAGTTCAAGGTACTGCACAACCAGTCCCAGGAAGTGTTATTGAAAGAACAAATGAATCCTGAGTAACACACAGGGTGCACTCATTGTGAATTTTTTTTTTCGCTGAAGATAAAGATGAATGTAGAAGGCTTAGGTTTGGACTCAGGGAGCAGAGATTAAAGGAGAACCTGTGAAGGCAGGATTCATCCATATCTGTGGTCTCTCTTGTCCAAATGTCTCCGTAATACCCAGTGTCCTGGAAGTCCTTTGAATGGAACAAACACGTATTGGCTTCTCTTACAATGGCAAGGTAGGCCTCATATGGCAGAGCCTGTGTCTGTGCCAATTATAATTTTGTCCCCAGTGCTAGCATGGTGCCTGACCATACTCAGAAAAGGCTTGTCATAGAACTTGACGGTGACCAGCAGCAACACTCATGCTAGGGACGGTAACAGGTGACGGGAGCTTCTAGTCTAGTTTGAGGTGGGAATGGGGCTAGGTGTAGCCCCATGCTGGAGAGTGTGTGTGAGTGACAATGTTCTGATGTTTCAGCTATAAATTATAGTATTGACGTGAGCGTACGGTGGGCACATTCCCACCTGATGCTCTTTCTATGGGCTGTTTCTCCAGCTGCGGTGGTTCCCGCCAGAGATACCCACGCAGCACATTCCTTCACCTCCTTCAGGCCTTACTCCACCGAGACCTGTAGCAGATGCTGTCCGTAGTCTGCCTTGGACCTTTCAGTGTACTAGGACCCCTAGAACTTAAGATTTGCTCTTGTGCATCCACAGCGGCTGCAAAGCACATTACATCCTATGGAACAACTCACCCCTCAGTGACTTGACTCCAGCTCCCTTGGCCATGAGGTCACATCATAACTAGTTTTCCAATTTCTTTGGGTTTCCCTATGATAGCATCAATTGCCTCTTTTTTTTTATTATTACTATTATTAATTTTAATGAAATTTTACAGAGCTTACTTGACAGCACCTAGCAACACCATGCACTGGGCACTGTTAGATAGATAGATAGATAGATAGATAGATAGATAGATAGATAGATAGATAGATAGATGGCAACCCTATGCACAATAGCTCCGAACCCTTTCCTATCCTGAGTCAATCTCACTGTCTCCAACATATCTGCTCCTATTGCTCCAGTTACTCTTGTAATCCATCTATCTCATCCAGGGCCTTCCATTCACCCATTTCCATTCATTCATTGTTGCACTATTCTCCCTGCCCACCTCTCCCCCCACAGTACATTCTTCTCTTTGGAAAGTGAAAGAAAAATCCTTTCGTTGTTTTACAATTGTTCCTCCCAGGTCCACTCCCCTATGCAGCCTTTGTTCTGGACTCTTGTCATGATGATAATACCTAATCACATATCTCTTTTAAATAGTTCTCTCCCTCATCTGTTTCAATGCAGTGTACATTATTTATCCCATCTTTCTCAGTCTCCCCCCAACCCCGATGTCAGTCCTGTTTTACAACAGTGGCACTATGCAGTATTTGTCCTTTGGTGACTGAGATATTTCACTCAGCATAATGTCCTCCAGGGTCACCCATTTTGAATAATATTGCATGAGTTCCTTGTTTTTCCAATATCAATCACCTCCTGTGGTAACTGATCTAATACTTTATGGACTGCCTGTCCCTTCCTGAATACCCCATGGACTGCCAAACCAACAAAGGGATATGTCTTGGAGAAGGTGCAGTTAGGGTACTCCTTAGACAGAAGGGTGGTGAAACTCCAACTCACCTACTTTGGGCTTATGATTAGAAGATGCCAATCCTAGAGAAAGCTATCATTCTTAGAAAGGTGGGGAGCCAGTAGAAAAGACGAAGAGCCTCAACAAGATGGATTGACTCAGTTATTGGAGCAAAGGGCTCAGGTGTGCCGTGTTGGTGCGGATGGTGCCTGTTAGGGTAATGTTCATAGTGACTCACTATGTTCATAGTGTTCATATGTTCATAGTGATTCACACTGTGAATCACGGTCGACTTGACTGCATCTAACAACAACAACAGCAACAACATCCTTTCCTGTATCACTTTCCCCTTCTTCTGTTTCCTGCTCCTCCTAAAGAAACTAACTGTATCGTTGTTTAAGGGTCTGCTTCTGGAACTCTCAAACTAAGACATCTAACTTTGCAGCAAGACTTCTTCTGTCCCCTTTCCCCCCTCTCCTGTCCCCTCTATGCTTTGTATTTCCCCATGGTACACATCACCTCAATGTATTATGCATTTTGTTTACTTCTTTATCATCTATGTTTCCCAATTTAAATGTAAGTTCTGTGACGGCACATCCAGACTTTTGTCTCTTTTGTTCATTGTTGTTGTTGTTGTTGTTGTTGTTGTTGTTGATGGCCGTCGAGTCAAGCACAACTCAGCGACCCTATGAACAAAAGGCCTGAAGCCTTTCTTTAACTTCCTGCTTCCTTTTGTTCATTACTGTAGCAAACGCTCGCACGCGCGCACACACACACACACACACACACACACACACACACACACACACTCTTTGGAGAGGCATATAGTTTTATTTATATATAACTCTCCAGAGTGCTGAAGTTCAAAGATGTCAGTCTAGAGACTAAGGTGCACCTGATCCAAGCCATGGTCTTCCCAATTACTTGTTATGCATCAGAGAGCTGGACAATGACTAAGGATGACAGAAGAAGAATTGATGCCTTTGAGTTGTGGTGCTGGAGAAGAGTATTGAGCATGCCACAGACTGCCAAGAGAATGAACAGATCTATCCTGAAGAGGGTGAAACCAAGTTGTTAACTGCAGCCTAGGTTTTTGAAGCTCCGTCTCACATACTTTGGGCATGTTGCCAAGAGGGATCAGCCCTTAGAGAGGGACATCATGCTTGAAAAGTTGGAAGCACAATGCAGGAGAGGAAGGCCCTGGATGGGATGGATTACAAGAGTAACTGGAGCAATAGCAGCAGATATGTTGAAGACAGTGAGATTGGCTCAGGATAGGAAAGGTTTCAGAGCTATTGTGCATAGGGTTGCTATCTATCTATCTATCTACCTATCTGTCTATGTATCCCTCATCTATTATCTATCTATCTATCTATCTATCTATCTATCTATCTATCTATCTATCTATCTATCTATCTATCCTCTATCTATCTAACAGTGCCCAGTGCATGGTGTTGCTCGGTGCTGTCAAGTTAGCTCTGCTTCCTAGCAATGCTGTGTATGACAGAATGAAAACCCTGCCTGATCCGACACTATCCTCACCATCTCTGTGATACTGGACCCCACTGCTGCAGCCACTCTATCACTACATCTCATTGGGGACCTTCTGCCCTTTTTTTTTTCCCACGACCCAGGCTTGAATAACAATTTGTTGATTGAGATAATAATTGTAAAGCTGTGGGGTAATTCGTGAACCCAGTCTATTGGAATAGTTTAACTGCTCAGTAATTTTAGATTGAGTTGTTCTGGTGGAAGAGGTATCCATAATAACTTCTAGAAAATATCCATACTTCAAAGGCTGCCCTTGTCCCCCTGGGTTGTTCAGGCTTTTACCTTCAATTAGATTTGTCTTCCTGGAATCTGGTCACAGGACAGCCCCCACAATCAAGCACTGTATCTCCCAGCTCGGCACAAGCCGCGTTTCACATCAGCGCTTGTACATGATTTCTAGAAGCCCTTAGGTACTCAGCTACGCTGTGCAAGGGAAAGAAGTTAATTAAGGCTAACATTCCTGTATCCTCCCAGGCTGTGTGTATAGGGATTATGGCTGAGAGACTGCGAACGCCACCTTAGAGTCTAGTAGCCAAACCCTTGGCCCCTGCTTGACCTGGCAGTTTGGAGAAGGGTGTGTGACACCTCGAGCCCAGGGCCCACCAAGAACTAGGAGACTGACTGCATGTTCTATTTCTCTGGCAGGGGAAGGTCTTAGGAATATGTGGAAATGTTGGGAGTGGAAAGAGTTCGCTCATTGCAGCTCTCCTAGGACAGGTAAGCTGGGTGGTGAGCACTGTGCAGGAAAACAAGAACGAACGCCCATACACAAACTCCAAACAAACAAACAATTCAGCTACCCTGAATCGATCCAGCCACATAAAGATCCCCTGTATGTCAGAGGAGAACTTTTCTCTGTAGAGGTTTCAGTGGCTGATTTTGAAAGAATCCAGTCACCAAACCTTTCTTCTAAGAAAGGTGTCCTTAGAACCCCAACTTTTTTTTACAGAGATTTTATTAGCATCTCATTGATTAACATTTTAAGCAACTATTGTGGAGGGCTCACTATGCAGACCCCCTTCTAATGACCTTCGTGTGTTAATTTTTACTACAGCAGGTTGGTCCCATTACTTTCTTTTTTAAAATATTTATTATTTTTTTTATTAATTTTAATGAAACTTTACAAAGACTGACATAGGGACTGGGTGGAGACTGAGAAAGATGGCATAAATTATGTAGACTGCATTGAAACATGAGAGAGAGAACTATTTGAAAGGGATATAAGATTAGGTATTATTGTCATGATAGGAGTCCAGAAGGAAGGCTGCACCATGGAGTGGACATAGGGGGAGGGACTATATAACTATGAAAGAATTTTTCTTGGGAGAAAAGTGCAACAATGAATGAATGGAAATCCAATATCTCTGTAAACTTTCATTAAAATTAATAATAATAAAAAATATTTTAAAAAGAAACCCAACTTTTTTATTAGAAGTCAAACGCTTGACTTTCTGCCTCACCCAGGTCTCTGAGTGTTGTGAAGATGGAACTTTAGTATTGGGGGGGGGCAGAAAATTCAAAAGGTTCCTTTCCTGTCACTGTTGTTGTTGTTGGGTGTCATTTAGTCAGAACCAGCTCATGGCTGACCCTCCAGTGGGCTTTCAGAGGCTATAAACTATATGGGAAGAGATTGTTCACCTTTCTCCCTTGGACCAGCTGGTGGATTCGAACAGCCTGCCTTTGAGTTGATGATGCAACTCCTTACCACTATACCATCAGAGCTATTTGGGTGCTCCATTTGAATATATAACTCCCTTCAAATAAACCTTGATCTTGATATACTTGTCTATTCTAGATATTTTATATAAATGAGAGCATACAGATTTGTCATTTTTCTGACTATAATCTTCACTCAGTGTGGGTATTTTCAAGGCCCATCCATATTGTAGCCTGTGCCAGGACTTCTACTTTTTGCTTCATTGTTTGACTATACCATTGTTGATAGACATGGAGACTGTTTCTTTTGTCTCTTGGTTATTGTGATTAATGCTGCAGTGAACCCGGTTATGCAAGTATCTGTTTGCATTCCTGCTTGGAATCATTTTGAGTATATGCCAAAGGGTGGAATTGCTGAGTCATGTGGGTCAAAAGTCTGAAATCCACTCTTGTTGAGCTGATTCTCACTAAAAGGCAAACCTATGTGCTGCAGAGTGGAACTGCCCTGTCAACTGGGTTTTCTCACTGCCTTAGTCTTTATGGAAACACATTTTCAGGCTTTTCTTTCATGGTGCTGCTGGATAGATTCAAACCCCCAGCCTTTAGGGTTAGTTGTTATTGTTTGGTGACGTCACATTGAGTATGACTCGTAGTGACCCCATGAACAATAGACCCGAGCTCTGTGCTATACTGTGGTGTCCTCATCATCTCTGACACATTTGACTCCATTGCTGTAGACACTGCACCAATTCATCTCATTCGCGTCCTCTCTTTTGCTGACCCTTCAGCTTCCCAAGCGTTATGGGTCCCCCCACCAGCACCAAGGAATAGTCTCTCCTAACAGCCTGTCTGAAATGTAGAGGGTTAGGCTTAGTTAGTAGCTGAGTAGAAATCATTTGTGCCACCCAAGAACCTTCACATGGGTGATGCATGCTTTTTAAACTGGACAAATCACTGTTTTACAACTTTCAACAAAATTCCAAATAAAATTGGATTCTTTTTTTCAATTTCTTTTGACAAAAATTAAAAACTCTGGCCACATTGAGTCTGTTCTTGCAAGATAGCAACTATGCATCTGAATCGAGGCTACTCCTGGATGGAGGGAACTGCCCTCTGGGGCTTCCCACCACAGTTGGAAGGTCCTGCTGAGAAAAGTCAAATGGGTCTCAGATCCAGTAAATGCACTGGGAGAAAGGAGAGCCTTGTGGCTGGTTTACCCAGAAGGACACCTTGTTCTTGCTGGCCCAGAGGTGTTGGGTGTATTAGCAACAGTCCCGTGATTTGAACTTTCCAAGAATTTGCTATTCCTTTCCATCACATTCCATTCCCTGTTCTCATCTAAATTACCTTGATTTTTTTTCTATAATTATATTTTATTAATTTTCATAAACATTTACAGAGATTTTGGGTTTCCATTCATT